CCCCAAAACCCCAAAACCCCAAAACCCCAAAACCCCAAATAAATATTTTTAACTGTTTTTATTCATTTTTGCCAGCGCATTTCTTAAAGTCCTCCTTGACCAAGGTGGTATAAGAGCAATACAGAGCTGTATTGTAGCCCATGTCTTGGTAAAGGTCATCCATAGTAAAGTTCCATCTGTTTAGAACAGGAGGGATGTCTGCAACCTTGTCTGCGTCTAAGTCAAATCCTACAGTGAATAGGATATATTTGAGCAACCATTGATGATCACAAGGTGTGGTGGCTCATTCTCCAAGGAAAACATTCATAGCTTTTGAGAGGAAATCAGTCCATACTTCTTTAGTTATTGGAGTCCCTGACTCAGGAACTTTCCCAAGGTCTCCCAGGATATCATAGAGGTAACTTCTTTCTCTTGTCATCAGCTCATGAAGGTCAAATTCTTCCACTAAAATATCATTCAAAGTAACTTTGTTTGCTTCATATCCAAACTTAACGAAATAATAAAGAGGATTGTTCTTCAAGACAGGAGACATTGCCCCGAAATTAAAGCTCAAAACTTGTTCCTTTGTCTTATCTGAAAAATATAATGGCAAGTTTGACTTAAAGTAATGCAAATGGCCTGAAAGAGTCATCACTATTTTATCAGAATACTTTTGGAATATTCCTTTAAGTCTCTCATTACATTCATCCTTCCATTCAAAAGTGGCTGAGTGATGGACAATAACTCCTGCAGGAATGTGAAATGTGATTATGAACTTTTCCTTATGAGGCGAATTACTCAGAACATCTTCAATCCATCTAAAGACAAACTCAGCCTCGTTTGACTTGGAAGTCTCTCCTTTAGCTGAGAAGTATAAGCTGTTCAAGCTCATGAGGGATAAATATTCCTTTGAATCTTTGCTGATATTCAAGATATCTTTGGCAATATAGCACCCTATTGACTCAAATAAACTTCTATCTTTGTCAAATTTTCCCATACTTAAGCCGTCCTCAGATCTAAGATAAAGATCATCTATAAATTCATAGAACCCATTCTCGATAAAACTCTGTGAATCTGGGGTTTCGTAATTAATCAAGACGTCATGGTTGCCGAAGTTCATATAAACAGGGACTCTCTGGCCTGATTTATTCTTAAAATTTCTAAGATATTTAGCAGTCACATCATGTAAGAATCTCTTCAAATTCCTATAGCACTCAAGTTTGTCAGTGCTACTAACATCCATATTTGTATGAAGAGTAGTCAAGTGAGGGGTCATATCGCCCAAAAACAAGACAGCAGAGACGTCTCTTTTCTTAGCCTCTCTGATCATTTGGTGGATGAGCATTTCTGCCAATTTCTCTGTGGGATTTCAACCATAATCTCCGATGTAAATGCTTTGGGCTTCAGGATCTTTGTTGCAGTCTGGATACCCGAACCTTCCTTTGAGAACACTGTTAGATTTTAATGTATCTTCGGCTAAGTTGTACACATAATCGATATGGATGTCTGTGAATACAAGTATTTCACGCTCTTTCGATATGTCTATATGAGTCGGTAAAAATAGGAGAACAAAGGTGTTTAAAGGACAGTTTCCTCTGTGCTGTACTTTAGTGAGAAAAACGAAAAAAATCTTATATTACTTCAAGATATCTAATTCCCCTTTATTCCTATCTATAATTCTACCAAATAACTTTCTAAAACCTGCTCTAAATCCTAAAACAACTCTTCGACCAAACCTCCCAAAACCCCAAAAATCTACCATCCCAACCGCATCCTATACCTTCCTCTCCTGCTTCCACACTCAATCCTCCACTCTGCCAGTCACTATCCTGTCTCAACCCAAAGCCAGTCCAGGCTAAGCACAAAAGACACACAAGCACTAAACTTCTCATTTCAAATATTATAATTAACCTGGGGTTTTGGGGTTTTGGGGTTTTGGGG